CAGCACAGAAGTGCTTCTTCAACACTGACCAGATGAGTGGGGCTTGGTATCAGCTGTTCCAAATGTGGTTCTCTTTGGAAGTCAACAGTGGAAAGATGTGGGAGAGTGCCACTGTTGAGATAAATAGGTTATTTTCTCACAAGCTCTATGTGCCAGGCTGCAGTCCTTCTTAATTCTAGGGCTATTTTAGGAGTGTGCTTTGATCGGGTCAGACATTAGATAATAGCATGAATGAAGTGGGTGCTATAATAGGGAATTATTAATGCAGAAATATGAGTGGATTAAGGCATTGCAGAGAACTACTTTGTTTTAGTGTCATATCCATGGTTAAAACTTGATGTATCATATATCCGAGGTCATCTTTAGGGAGGATTCATGTCAACACCAGGCTTTCCTAAATGAATGATGCATGATGGTGGCCTCTCCCTCCCTTTCCTCACTATAGAAAGATATCCCTTTGCTAATCTGACTACTTTTCCAATAATGTACATAAGAATGGTTTTCTCTGCTCTTTGTATGTCTACACCTCCATCACCCACAGATCTTTGCATACCAAACATAACGTGTCTTCATCATATACTCAGTCCTCAAAATGCAATGCTGATAGCTGGTCTGCGAATAACATTCCAGCTATAAAAGGCGTCCCCTTGACAAGTTTCAGTAAAGACGATATATTCTGCACACAAGACCGGCGATGAAAGACCAAACGCATGCAGGCATGTGTGCATGCACATTCACAAAAACGTGTACGCACCCACACACACCCTCAGATGTGGTCCTGGTGACACTTCACAAAGGTCAGCTATCAATAACCTTCTAAATTTGTGGACCTTTAAAGTTGACAGAGGAAGCGACTCTTTATGGACACTATAACAAATCACTGCCACTGTAGAGTCTGCAGAAGATTAGGTTACAAACAGACATTTAATGTTTTATGTTATATAACTGCACCAAGTCAAGATTGTTGGCTAATTGCTGATCTCTTGTTTTTGTCAAATTTGACCTGCCCACGGAGATAGATTTCTAAATGTACGTAACAATCACAATATTTATTGCTATCCATGATCAGTCAATGGTCTTTGATAATAACAGTAAAAGTAAAATTACTTGGTATGTGTTAAAAAGCAGAGGCCATAAAACAGGACTTAAAGATATTAAAACAAAGATAAAATGTTCAGATGGCAGAGGAGGAAGTACCTAATTACATTTACCCTGTTACAAATATTTAAGTAGGTTTTTGACACAAATGTATTTTAAGGACTATATTTTTGTAGACTTTCACTACTAATACTTTGGCCACTTTGTCCCCTGTGAGTAACTTCACTGAAGAACAAACAAGCTTTTTTTAAACAAAAGTGCTCCAGACATAGACATACGGTTAATGTTATGATGAGAGTTCCTTTTTTGGTATGCAATCTTGCTTTTTGTCTAGCAAGTCTACCATGAACTTTGGAGATCAAGCTGATTTACAGGAAGGAGTAAATATTATTACTGGATATTACTGGGGGTACTTCACATTGATCTAATATACTGTATGTACATTATCTGCTGTAAGGATTGGCTTCATATCTTTCCTGTTAAGAATTAAGTGTTTCTTCGTACTAGATTTGGTATTTCTCAATTAGGTTATTTACTTGCTTTAATTATATTATTATTGACTTTAACATGCCAGACTTTGCACAAAACCTAACATCTTGCTCTGTCCTATTACAAAATTTCTAAATAATAAGTTAGATGTTATGATGTGTTACTCAGTAAAGTACCCAGGGCCTTCAGTAAGGAGTTTTCCCCACCAAACACCATTAAAGATTTGGAGGAGAACAAACAAAACTACAGAATATGTAAAAACAAAACTAAAAATCAATTTTTAGAATGATTTTCTCAAGTTTAACAATTCTTCCATTATTATTAAACAGGGTTCATTTAATGTAAGCATAAGAATATCATCTTTTTTTTTTCAACGCTGCATTACGCTCCCACTGACTAACAAATGTTTAGAGAAACTGTTCATGGTATAAACGCAACAAAAGAAAGCACACCTTTAAAGTGTGTGAGGTGAAACGTTAGGTATGTTACTGGAAAAGGCTTTTCAGTATACTGTCAGCCAACATAATAGTCATTTCTTACATATTAGCCTCTAAGTTCACATTTTAACCCCCAGTTTTTCATTTAATAATGATATTTTATAACCTAATTAAAAATAATAATCAATCATTTTCAGCATACATATAAATTATTAGAATTATTTAAGTGTTATTTTTCAATAATGTTTAAAATACATTATTTTGACTCTTTTTTTGGCATAATTCTTTTCTTCTTGTCTCCCTTTTTTTTTTTAGGTCCCCTACAACATACAAAAGATTTATGAAAGGCTGCCATCCTTTTTGATTTGCTCAAATAAAAGGCAGTCTGGTATCTGCTAATGCTGGCTCTGGGTCAGTTTGGCCCTTTGACCATTTAGCATTTAGCCCGTAAGCAACTTTATCTGTGTGACTTTGGGAAGTTTTTCCCAAAATAGCAGCTCTTTGCTTTTTCTTTTTTGAAATCCGCTTAAGTACCTCTTTTTGGTATCCATCGTCGCTAATACATTGTACGCAAGTCGTAGTGTAAAAAAAAAAATACTCAAATTCATTGTTCTTTTAAGATCTTTATTGCGGTTTGAAACATATTATATGAGTGTATTTATTACCAACCGTCTAATGAACTATACACAGGTATTAACATAGTAATTAAAAGTACCACTGTCTGCTTTCCTATTGGTGTCGTGTTTAAACGGCTCACCATCATGTTGAAATCTGGCATATGTTGTGGTATAAATATGGAGAAGCACGAAAATAAATGGTAGCTCTGGGGGAGATGCAGGGATCAGCAGATCTGGTAGGAGAGCCTATTGGCAAAACTAACAACACTTGTACACTCAAGAAATGTAGTCTCTGAAACAACGTTGCTCCCATTTTGGCTGGGTAACTACCATATTTTACCCCTCTTTTACGCTATCCACCTGTATTAGTAGTCTCCTGTAAATTTCCTGTGTTATTGTATTAAAAAATTGTATATAGAAAATATTTATCTTCCTCTCCAAATGTAACAGTTGCTAGCATCGCAAGTCAAACTTTGATCCCCTAACTGTAGTTTTCAATTGGTTTATTATAGATTTTATTTATAAATCCCTTTATTGTCCCACAATGGGGAAATTCACACTCTGCATTTAATCCATGCCCCTGGGCAGCAGTGGGCTGCCATTGTGGGGCGCCTGGGGAGCAGTCTGGGGTTAAGAGTCTTGGTCAGGGAGCCAGAGTGGCAGTCTGTGGAAAGGAGTGGGACTTGAACTCAGAACCTTAGAGAATGCAAAGCTCTAACCACTAGGCCACCACTCCCTCTTCATTATTCATTTTAGATTTCTTATGCACATGTCCTAAAATAAAACGGATAACTGCGCTTGACTTTGGTAGTCAGAGGGCTCCCAATGGATCTCATAAAATGTTCTGTATTTTCAAGTCCAAAACATGAAAAGTATGCTAAAGAACCACTTTTGATGTCTTCTCTGCAGTTTGCCACAATCTAGAGGGACAGAGCAAGATAAGACCATTGCTGAACTTTTTTGGCCTGCATTATATGTGGAGAATACAATTGCGCATCATTTGATGGAGAAAATGGGGTCGGCAGAATCATGCCATGGTGATGCTTATCTTCATCAGTAATCAGAGTTGTCTATAAGATGGAGGAAACATGACTAGCAAAGACAAACAAAAATATTGAGGTTATTTATTTTATGCAAATATAACCTGACCTGCTATTTTCTATAAATGTAAAAAAGTCACAAGTTAAAGGTTAAAGGTTTAAGAATAGTGACAACTTTTTTATTATTGGATGGACAAAAGGACACTTCACAGTTTTAAAGATTTTCCCAAAAGTAAGGATAAAAAAAACATTATGAAAAAAATGAACAAATGAGAGTCCTACATTTTTTTCACCCATTCTTCAACAGAGTGATTTAGGCCCGGACAAAAATAATGTTGGCCTTAAAACAAGACTAATAATAATGTGACCAGAGGCACATGTTAAATCACGGTATGTCAAACTAATTAGCATCAAAGGTGTTAGTTTTGTAGTATAGATCATTCTGGTCTCCATATGTCTTGGTTTTGTATGTGGCTTGCTTATGATTTGAAAATAAATCAGAACTTGCCAACTACACACTGACAAGTGTGTAGTTGGCAAGTTCTGATTTATTTTGTCCAAGGCACATCGGCTCTTAGTTGACAGATGGAAAAAATTAAGTACAAATAAAAAAAAAGTCCCTACTGTAAAACATGGAGGAGGCTCTGTTATGATCTTGTGCTGCATCTTTGGAAGGAGCTGAAACATACAGTCTGGAAAAGGCAGCCTTCAAAACCGAGACAGCTGGAGCAGTTTGTTTTGAAGAGTGGACTCAGTGACAGTTATAGGAATCGTTTCATTACAGAGATTCCCTTAAAAATGTATGGAGAAATAAACTAAGTTAAGCATACCATTTTTGTCCAGGCCTGTTTCATAATTTCTTTATAAATAAATCATGCTGATACATGTTTGAGAAGCAGTCTCTGACTTTTATGCCTATTTGTTCATTTTAAGTTAGATTGAAGCTGTTTTGCAAACATTGTGTGTTTTTCTTCATTAAAAAAGGGCTACCAACAATTTTGCCCTTGTGTGTTAAGGAGCTTGCAGTCCATCCCAAATAATACTACCCACAAGGATATTTCACATTGGCTTCAAACTTGAAATTTATGACATGTCCAAAACTGTCTCAAAAGGTTTTGTTTATTGTAATTGTGTTAGCCTCTATATAACCTCAAACACCGTGGGTCAGTTGTTGTTAGTCCTTTGTGGGAATAGGAAGAGAAGTGTTACTTGCTGTCAGACAGCAGTACACAGCCTTGTGTCCTTTGCCAGCACTGATTGAACCGCGAGGGTTGTCATGGCTACACGGCGGCCCAATCAGAAGCTCGCGTTTGTCTGCCGCTGAATGAAACTAACAGTAGCCATTTTGCGCATGAAGCTGTGGCATCATTCACTTGACAACCGAACGGAAACGGAATGTTTTGACCATTTCTGGACACGGGTGGCTGACTGAGTTCAATAGTACTGCGGTTTGCCAACAAATAGAAGGGGCGAGTATCACCGCTTCGCCTGCTGCTGCGGTAGTTGTGATGAGAGGACGGGCTCGGACAGGTTCTTTTCCAGGCCGTTTGACCCCCCTGTGAGAGAGGGAAAGATAGGGAGACGGAGCTACCTGTTAGTTAGCTTTAGGAGCGGTGAGAAACAGGTGTATGGTTTCATCACACCGATGCGGCGCGAGCGTGTGTCGCCTCTCCGCCTGACGAAGTGACAACTTTTAATCACCTCAGGCTGATTTCCCGGGGATATTTAAGGACTGTTAGTCGTTTTAAGGTAAGCGTTTACAATTTCAACTATGTTGTCAACTCATAAGCTGCAGCGGATCAGACTCGGCTGAGATATAATATATTTGAAGAAGATAAAGGAGACACGTTAAGTGACCCAAAGGCGTTACTGACAGCAGCTGCCCTATTATAGATCTAATGTAGTCAGCTCGGTTGTTTCCATAAATGTGCATTCCAGTGGATCCCTGCTGCTGTGCATTAAAACAAGATGCGGTTAGGAAGATGGGGAAAGCTGCAAACAAAAAAAGCTAGGGGAAGATAATTACTAAGCATGTTTAGGAATAAGGGCGTTAACTGAACAAGTTTGGTGTTTGTAAACATGAACTGAAATATCAATATCGAACCCACATCCGATATTCTTTATTGTTAGCTTTGGTTTACACAATGCTGCAGTCTGTTATTGTGGCTTCTGGACAGGAAAGCCCAACTCTGTATTTCTGTGCTAAATTGTCTTGTGCTATTTTCATTGGGAAAAATAAGGTGGATGGATCCCTGTAAAACAAGCAAGGTACACAATAGGATGATCAATTTCACCAATTAGCTGTGCAGTTTACTTTTGCTCACACCATACTAGATAAATGTTAAATCTTTATAAAGCTTATATCACAATATATTTCTTAATTTTGATCAATATTTTGATTTTCATATAAATATCTGAAACACTGCCAAGAATGCCTACAAAAAAATTCTCTACAACATATGACCAATCTTTTGCCATGCTTCAATATAAAATTTTTGAGATGTTTGCTTTAAACAAAACAGATGAAATTACATTAAACCCAAATATTGACCAATATTGACATTATACCATATCAGCACATCATCAATTCAATATTTAATTTGTAATGTTAAATCCTAGAAAAGGTTTAATCACTTAGAATGATATTCATTCATTATTGGCCAAAGGTTTACAGAAACTTTAAAGAGAAGCAGAGGGTTTCCATCAGCTAATATTGGATATTTTAGATGCAGGCTAATATATTACAATAGTAGTAGTTTTTGCACTGATATCAGGAAGATTTCCAATATCAGTTTGTGATTGAATCATTGAGGATTATAGACTTAAATGTATGTTAAAATATCAGAAATATCATATTGCTGTTATTATAAAACAATTGTAAATGTAAAGAGATATTGAATTGTCAATAACCTCTGATGGAGCATAGGGTACAATAAGATCCTCCCCTTCCCACCTGTTGCTGGGCACTGCTGATCACCTGGCTTAAAGAGGGCCTCTGAAATAAAAATATGAATAATGGTGTTTGGAAAAAACCTTTGGTCTTAAAATATCAAGTCTTGTTGTTGAGGCTTTGGGTGATGCTGTTTTCATACAAACCTTGACAAGCTTTAAGAGTTATGTCTGTTAAGCAAACTCTGCATTTCAGCTAACTTTAACCATATCAGTTTAGCAGGAGTTTAAAAAAATATATTATTTATGTAAATTAATTCTAATGTTCTGCCATAAGTGTAATAATAACTGTTTTGTTTCTCTTTGCACCAAACAAAGAAACATCTTATGTTTTCATTGCAGTAGCTTACATGGTAAATGCCAAGAGCATTAAATTAGGATAAACATTAACATAAAGGATAAACAAGGCTGACCATATAGTTGAACATTTATAGCATAGGAAATACTAAATTAAAATGAAAACAAAGAGATAAACTAAAAGTCCCATTAAATCCTAGACTCTAATTAACTTTAGATATGTTTACATTAGACATTAACATTCTCCATTCACTCCAGCCTTCTTAAAGACAAATTAAAGCTGTTTACCTGAATTTTGCAGTTAAAACCCTGCTCGGGTTATTTCTTGCTTTAGGGCTACCATTTCTCAGCCATCATCCAGCTACTTGTTTTTCCTTTTCATTTAGTCAGCTGACCTTTTAATTCCTTAATTCCTTAAAGGTCGTCTTTTGGACAATAAAAAACAGATCCAGGATTTTATAAACCAATGAAAAAATCCCAAATCCTATACAGGCAGACAATGAAAAGACTTTCAACCGTTTTTCCAGCTTTTCTCTTTTGATCTGTGTGTTGTAAGGTAAATAATTAAAAAATATCCCCCATCCTCTCTGCTATCTGGTAAGAAAATCACTTAATGTAGAAAAAGGTGAGGAGGTCAGCAGTAGTGGGTACTATCTTTCTAAATGAATTTCAGTGCTGGGTTACTAGGAAGAGTCGATAGGTGCCTTGGGTGCACAATACGTAACACTATCTCTCCGGGAACCTCATACCACTCCCAGTGAGGCCTACCTGTCTGAGTGAATGCTTTATCTCTTTCATTTTTTTTTTTTTTTACATTGTGCTGTTGCTAATCCTGTAGTTTATATCAGTTTGTGGCTGCACAGCTGTATCTGGCAGAGTGGAAGCACCACAGTGAGGTGCAATGCAATAAGCAACAATTGGCAACTGTCTGTCTCCAAAGGGGCTACAGAAGCAATAAACCTCTCATGGAGGCTTAAATGTGCTTTCCTAGTGAGGGCTCATAGAACTTTGATGTGATTGATGGTCAGTGAGGGAAAGTGTCCACCAGCTTAAACTCAAACCTGTTGGTTTAGAGTTACAAAACTACGGTGTGTATTGTTCATATGGCAGAGGGGGAGACGGATGGCAAGAATGGTGAGCAAGACAGGCAAGGTTGCAAAAAGCAAGGTTTATTAAGGTTTCACACCGGGTCAATCCGCCCCTTCTTCACTATCCCCTACATCATGTTTATATGATACATGGCAGCGGACACTGGCACTATCTATGAGGATATAGTTATCTTATTTTGATCTTCTCCAAGGTTTTAAGTATTTTTAAGTGCGACGCATTCCATGTGCAGCTCCTCTGCTTTTTATATCCTGCCACTTACTTCACTGGGAACAGCAGGGCCTTGCAGAGGTTGATAATGAATTAGGTGTTGAAACTGTACGGGTGAGACCATGGCGACGCAAATGCTGTAATGTGGAGTGCCTCATAGGTCATAGTGGAGTTATGTGCAGGTTTGTCACTGCTAAAATAGTTTGCGCTGGTACTGTATTTTTAAGGTTAAATCTGTTTATTATGAGGAGAAAAACTGTATTTTTTATTTAAAAAAATTAAAGTTCAAATATATTTGATGAATAAATCTATGTAGTATTCCCCTCTGTGGCATTTGCAGTTCATCACAGAGTTGAATAGTAAAAACTAAGGTTGTTGATGGGAGTTTAGGTGGAGAATCAAGCAGTGGACTGTGTTGGTCCTTTGGAAAAACCCCTGATCTTTCCAAATCCAGGGTTCAGTCATTAGCACCTGTCAGTTTTCAGATTCTGACCATACCTTTGTGATCCCGGTGCATGACCGTAAGTGTCAAGGAGCCACATGCTGTTTTGTTAGTGGCAGATTAGCTAATTGTTTTTGAAGCTTATGTGTTAACTTTAACTTTCATGTTTATATCGGAAAGCAGCCCTCAGAGTTGATCAAGAGTCCATTAGAAAGAGATCCTGAGGAAATCTCAACAATGAGTTCAGCTTTGTTAAGTGGTTTTGGCTCAAATTAGAGTTAACGGATAAAAACAAGTAATTGCTGTTTGAGACCTTCATGAGTGATAGCTTTTGTTTGGTCAGTCACTGACGGAAGCTGAAACTACACAGAGAAAGTCATTATAGTTCTGACAATAGGAGTTGTTTTTTCTTCCAGCTTTTGATGTTAGAAGTAGATTAGTTATGGTCATTTAATTAATGGAGTTCTGAAAGTTTAGGAATTTTCTTTAGTTCTGACTGACCTGCTCTTCCTGAACTGATTTATGACCCTTGACTTTTGTCTCTTATGTTCTCCGTTTTAATTTGAGTTTGAAGTATATATATATATATATAAAAGCTGGTTGCGGATACAAAAAATATTAAGGATTAAATTTTATGGTTTTAATCTACAAGAGTAACTTGGATTTTCTCTATATGGTGAAGGAAGAGGTCCACAATATATTTGGTCATATTAGATGGTAGTCAGATTACAATAACAGCATGTACATAATCACAATTTAGACAGGAATGATTGGGGGAAATGAAAGATAGAAAATTATACTTCATGTATTTTACATAGTTGTAAATTTGCAAAGAATCAAAAGTTTTGAAATTGTAGTGTGTCATTGAATTTTTTTGCTGGAGTTGCAGGATTATTTTTCCTGATATTGTGAACCCCAAAATGAGCATTAAAATGGAGCTTTCTTTTATGTGGGAGCAAATTAGCATTTCAGGAGACATTTTTGCAGGGACTACAAAGTTTCCCTAAAATTATATATACAAATATGTTTTAACTGTAGTTGGTCCCTGTCCAAAATCATAAAATGGAAAAATCTATAAAAATAGAGAATAAAATGGGGGCTAAAATATGTGGTCTAGAAACACAGTAAGATATCGGAGGAGGTTATGATGTATTGTTGTCCACCTTCAAACACAGATGATTCATTGAGTGTTGATCAAAACCAAAGTTTCACCATAGAAATGTATGACTTGCAGAGTGAAATTCTTTAGCTAAATCAATGAATTAAGCTGTTGAGTGGTTTGTTATTTGTGTTTATGAATCAACTGTAATCAGTGCTACTGTAAATTTGCTATAGCTTGGATCTAAAGCATATAAAACAGAGATGAATTAATCTAGCAAATATGTGGCTACAGAAATCACGCACAACCATTAAATTTTACAGATAACATTATTATGGCTTCACACCAGAAGGAATAATTAAGGTTTTCTTTTATTATTTGTTTTTTTGTGCAAAGCTAAAAATATTAAATAGTAATTCATACATGGTCTTACCAAATCATGAGAATCTCATATTGACCAGTACCTAGTTTAATGTGTATGTTGTCCAAATTGCACATTGCACAGTAGCTGTCTCACTGGTTTTAGATATCCAGGCTCGAACTCAGTATGAGATGCTAATAGCAGTAGTTACATCATCATTCTGGGAATAGCAGGGAGTCTGTGGTCTAGAGGTGCTTCTGGCTGACCTCTCTCCTGTGTATATTCAGCCTGTGTGTGGTCATTTCCAAATATAAATACCTATATGGATTACACAGCAGGAGGATTAGAACTGACACGCTTTAGTTGACACGTATTAATATTTACTGCTCAATATGACTTATTCTGACGGGGCATTGTTAGAGAAAAAAAATGACCTAAAGTGAAATCTTAAAAAATTACGAACACAGATATTCGGGCAGGTAAGCGATTTTAGCCCTGCCAAAAAATCTGTGAGCAAAATACCAGGAAAAGGACTCCATTACTCTATGTAGGAACAGTTTGACATTCCTGTCTGGGTGTTTGTGTGGAAAAGGCCACTTTTCCGATGTACCCCCGGCTGGTTTGGTATCTGCTATGATTTTACCCATTTTTGTGTCTAACTTTGTGTTTGGATGATGCAAAAAAATTTGATTCTGTATCCAAACTTCATATGGAAACCTATGTACCTGCAGCAAGCTATGCATGAGAACATATTTGTGAGTGGTAAAATAGAGATGGGTTAACCGTGTCACTCAGCTCCCCCTTCATCTGTATACACTAAGCGGATGGGGGCGGGGGTGACTCTCCAGTCTTGTAGACGAGCATGCCTAAGTCTGAAAATAGCTGTATCTGATCACTGCTTGGTCCGAATTGGGAACTCTCTTTCCCCGCCATTTCCTCTCTCTTTGGCTCTCTCACTCCAACTTTCTCCTGCTCTGTTGTCTCTGCTTTTCTCAGGCATTAAACGGGGCAAGGTCAGGAAGTAAAGACCAACACCAGGAGACACTTATCCTTAGAGGAGGGGAACGAGAAGGAAAAGCAGCAGAGCACAGAATTGGATCTCAGCAGTCATCCTTTTCTGACGTGCAGTAGTTTCCAGCCTTCTGGTTTTATGACGGTAAAAGTAAAATTTTTTTTTTTGCTTATTGGATATTTGGACCTGCAGTCATCTGACACTAAAGATCTCTTTTTCTATGTTCTTATTTCAGTGCTAGAACATCAAATGTTTTTTCACACTTGTTGCATGTCAGTAAGCTTATCTAATTCAAATTAATATAATGGTTCTGTATTTGGCTGTGTTTTTTTTTATTAGATTTGCTTTATTGCTTTATTTTTCTCTCCTAAACATATCATTCTCTAAACCAGGTTTTATATCTATGTTACTGTGTTATAAGCTCATGATGTCTGTAAGAGAAAACACATTAAGAGATCTGAATAGATTTTACAACCAATATACCAAAACAGAAATCTATTTATCTCCTCCTTTCAAAGCCACAATTATAGACCTTGCTTTAAAGCTTTTATTGTTTCTGACATTTTCACAAGGAAAAACCGTGCTAAATAGAAATAGTGCTTCCCACAGCCACCTTAGGAATAGCATCAGGGATTAACTTAGGACAAACAGACAAAATTTGAAGCATGATCTTACAATATTTGGCTATAAATGTTAGAGCAGGAATAGATTTATTGTTATGCAGACCATAAGGCTTTGGAGGGGAACAAGTTTAGGTTTGCAGCCTGAAGTAACAAAGAATAAAAAAAAAAAACAAAGGATGAGAAAAACATTACAGATCCTGTGCAATAGGCTGGTGTGGACTGAGTTTGAACCGGCAAAGACAGTTAATACTTTTACATGTAAAGACTGTATTTCAGTATATATTAGTAGAGGTATATAGAAATAGGAGTATTTTTTGAGCATATTTGCACATGGTTGTAAGTGACTCTACAAACTTCCGTCTCTTCTTACAGCCTTTTTTTTTTCATGGTCTGTTTTTTTCTCATTCAAAAAAGCTATGCTCCAATCCCTCCATTAGGGCCAGTCTCAGAGGTGTTGAGGAATTTCACCTTGACCCCTCAGGAACACAGTGAGGGGCGGTTCTCAGATTTGGTTCATATCGTGAACTTACCTGTATCCCTGAGAATGACAAACAATTTCTATGGAGCTCCTCTCTGTGCTTTAAATCAGAACTAGATTCAATTAATTTCCTAGCTATTGTCACCAAATCTGGCAGATCTAATATGTTTCAGATTACAATCATTTTAGATCATATTAATTATATGCATTAGGTTAGCTTTGTATTTTTTTTAATAACACATACATTCAGTTGTTTGGTGTAGGCTGTATGGGGAGGAAAAAAGGGACTCTCTGTAGCAGGTGACCTGAGTTATATTTGCGTTTACTATTTTCTTGATCCCCCACTTCCCCGTTTCTCACTGATTGTGCCTATTTGTTTAAAGGGGATTTAAAAAGGACCAAACACATTTATACGCAGCCGTCACGTCTGTATTGAGCTATCACAGAGTGACATTATCATTCGTGAATAGTTACAGATCAGGGTTAAAATATATTAAAAAAATAAGTTTATGCATCAAAATATAAAAAAGACAGTTTAGCTCATTAATTTGTCTTTTGAAGTTTTGAGCCTCTCTTGAGGTTAAAGGGTTCTGTCTAATGGATGTAAATATAGCATCTCTGCTAATCGCTTCTTCTTATCTTTATGCTGGACACTCAGCACTGGTACCTGCACGGTCAGGAGTATTTTGGGGGAAAGCAGTCTTACCCACAGCTGATACTGCCTCTGCCTTACCAAATTGATATATCATTCAGCTTTTCGTTTCACTGAATGGGAAAGTGTGTGTGACTATGACATTAATATTTTGAAAGATGCTTAAAGATCGATGGGATAAGCTTCTATTTTGTGTTTATTACCACAGTATGCACATTAGCACACAGACTGTTTGACAGCCTTTGTTGTACTTCAGGTTGTTGTTACAGATTTAATAAAACACAACAGCAGATTAGCTCTGTTATCCAGGAAGCACATAGACTTTATCTACTGTTCAAATGATCCAGTATCTAAAGTTAAAGTCTCAGAATAAATTACTATGTGGCAGTTTTTATCCTCAGCTGTCAGCAATGTATAGTTTTGACAACATGATGTCAGTTTAAAGAATTTGAAATTCTCATTGAGTATCGTATCAAAATGGAAACATTTGTGTTTATCTTTGGAAATACATGGTTTTAGCTCTAGGCAAGGCAAGGCAAGGCAAATTTATTTGTATAGCACAATTCAGTACAAAGACAATGCAAAGTGCTCTACATGATAAAAATAGGAAGGATAAAAATAGGAATAAGGAAAATAAAACAGAATCAAAGCAAGTAGGAAAAAAAATAAAAAATTAAATAAAATAAAAAATTCAGAAACAAAAAAGAACATTAAAAACAGTTGGACTAAAGAAAATAAAAAAGTTGAACTAATGATGTTTCAGTTGAATTGTTTAACTAGAACAGTCAAAGGCAATCCCAAACAAATGTGTTTTTAGTCCTGATTTAAAGGAACTCAGGCTTTCTGCACTTTTACAGTTTTCTGGAAGTTTGTTCCAGATAAGTGGAGCATAAGAACTAAATGCTGCTTCTCCCTGTTTAGTTCTGGTTCTAGGTATGCAGAGCAGGCTGGAGCCAGAAGACCTGAGTGGTCTGGAGGCTGTTTTTTTAATGGGATACTGACTATAAATTGTGTGCATTTGATTAAGTTAGACATTAAACGTGGGCTAAAATGTCTTATATTTAGCAGGTTATGGCAGTTTTTTAAATTTTAAATTTCCATCTTGTTTTCCTTCAAAAATATTTTCCCTTTTTTGAAGTACTTATTTTATATTTCACCTTTAAGTCTTTCAATTTTTTCCCCTCTCTATAAACATCAAACCCAGAAGCTAACCACATTCTAGATTCTATATTAGAATGGTAACATAATAAACCCTCCAATTGTCAAATCCTATTCATTCTTCGTCCCTGATTCCCCGACTCCGAGCGAGAGGAATTGTGTTATATAATTACATTAGTGCTCCCAGGCTGATGGCTTTGCTCGTTAGTGCAGTTGTGATGCAATCTGCAGAACACACGGCCCTCTGTTATGTGCAGTATGGGCAGTGAGTGGGCATGCACGGTCAGCATTTTGACCTCCTAGGTCCTTTCATACAGCCAGGAGGGGGGTCTGCTAATGAGTTGCAAGGTTGAACAAACAAATCCGATAACGTAGACTTTGTTGGAAGTATCTGTTGTTCAACTAGTGGCAGTAATGCGCTGTTTGAACAGTTACACTCATAAAGCTTCCTTGTATGATGTCCTGCATCTCACAACGAACAGCTTTGTGCTTTTGTAAAAAAGCTTTGAAACAATGTTTTGGATGAACTCTATTGATGTGTTTGCATCTGTCAGTGCAGTAAAGCAGTTACAGCTTTTGCTTTGATTTGACTGAATTCTTAACATATTTTAACAATTCAAGTGTGAAAGAGCTCATAATTTCAATCTAGCCCAGGATTTTAGAACGTTATGTAACAGAGAATGTTATAGAGCTTTGTTCAAGCTTTGAATTTACTCACTAAGGCTTAATAGAAAATGTGCAAAACTCACATTAATAGTTTAGAATTTGGTTTCTCTGATGCTTGGTCAAATACTTTTTTTTCAAATCTCCTTTCTTACATAAAATTATGATTTCTAAATATTAATAATGCCTCCTTAAATAGTTCTGCACAATTCCTGTTCTGCTTCTAACATCGGGAGCAAAAGTGTTATCTAAAGTAAATCGTATCATTACAAATTTACATGACAAACTGGCTTTAGCTGATTGTACTTAATTAGTGATTTGCACAGTTAGCATTGTGAAACTGTCTTTGCATGTATATTGAAGAGAAAGTAGAAGGTTCCTTTGAAAAAATTCTTTGACATCCCTGTGCTTTTTTAAAGATATCAGAGTTATGAAAGTGGCTAACTTTGAAGGTTTTCCTGCTTGGTAAACCTAACAGTTTTGTTACTGGGAGTGTTTAGCTACGTTCACTGAACATTCAGTTTAGTTTTCAAAAGGCTGTTCAGTAGTCTTACTAATTGAAATCACGAGAAAAACTCTCTATATGTACTTTTTCAGATTAACTTAACTCATCCACGCTCTTCTTATTCCCTTGTTTACTTTCATGGCAGCCATTTACCTCCCTTTGTTTTGCCACAAAAATGTGCCACTAAAATAACTTGGCTTCAGTACAGCAAATACAAAAATGCAGTAATTCCACATTCTGCCTTTTTCGCATGTGTTCCTATCTGCCTGTCCTTCTCAAAGTCTCAACTGAGATTTATGTTGGCCCTCCATTATTTTTTTTTCTTTTTCTTTTTTTAAAGGGAGATCTCCCTTATCACCAGTTTGATACCACAAATGGCCTTTACTTTGCTCTTTAGTTTTACTCCCGTGATTGAGTTAAATCCTTGCATTTACATGCACTGGGCAATCATTGTAGAAAATATATTCATTATTGCTCCTACTGGATCTGTTATTAACAGCTGACAAGCTTTTCTGTTCACAAAGAGATGTTTAGAACATGTCTCTGTGACAACTTTAAAGTCTTTCAGGTCTTAAAATAGATTTTCTAAGGTGCTTAATCTGCTGACATCAGTAAAGTATCACTGCCAGACTGACCACTCAGGGTCAGGGTCCTTGAAGGCTTTATCTCCATTAAGTACTTGCTGTCTACCGTTGTGTCAAAAATAATCACCCAAAAATTAGGTTGGAAACGCTTTCTAAGTAAACTAAGTTTATTCATTTTATACGAAAAGTATTGATGCAAGAATCCTCCTAACCAATAGCCCTCCATAGATAACCTGTGGTGTTGGGATTGATAAAATAGGTTCCACTTTATAAAATTACCTCCATTTTGTCCAGAGGATGATGCTAATGTCCGCCACTACTCAACACGTAAAACTTCCCCTTTGTGCTGCTGTTGTCGTCATAATGTTGAGGTTGTTAGAAGGTGCCCACATGGTGTCAGTTTCCTGAGAAAGTAAATAATGATGTACTGCCTTTTATTTTTAGTTTTTTGTTTGTTTCAAACCTCTCAACCAATAGAGTT